TTACCACTTCACAAATCATTTTATGGAAGAGTGCAAGCAACAAAAAATAGCACATACATTTGCTAAAATATCCTGCTATATACAGTAGATATGGAATGTTACAGGAAAAAGATAAGCTAAGCTGGGGTTATATGTCCACCTACTGTTTTCAAGAGTAGAGTAAAACTCAAGAATAAACTGACAAGTAAAGAGCTCTCAACCACACGGTGAAACTGGATTACTTCTATTAACAGTAATTATTATTTTTTTCCATGATGCAATTGACACAACTGACAAACCTTTTGGTCTTTACAGTGAGAGCACTTGCAGTAGGAAAAATTACTAAAAAATAAACAGATGACTAGAAATAGCATTTTCTTCATTTCTGCTCCATGCATTTCTGCATGTGATGCTAGCAAGCTCTAGCTCCTGGGTTAATGTTGACAAAATAATGCTGTAAAAGAATAAAATAGAAATAACAACAAAAAAAAATATGTATCCCGGCATTAGATTTTCTTTCTGTTATGTTCCTAATGTTTCTCCCTTCTCATTTTTAGGAACATACAATAGACCTTTAAAAATGTGGAGCTGCTTTCAGAGTTGCTATCGTCATCTAGATCAATTTGTAATAAAGTCCTGCCTTCCAATCTATTCTAATTTCAATGTACACACTCTGCTGGCTGTTTGCCAGCATGGAGTTCAGAAATAATATGTCCATTTAGTTACAGATGCACAGATTTCCCTGGGATGGAAGCTCAGAATTTTCATTTACATTAGAAAGTAATTGAAAGAACAAAATACTTGGTTAAAGATAATTACTAATATTTAACCAATAATGTAGGCAAGAATAAATGCAGAGACTTCTAATGTGTCTGTTGTGCAATGACAATGTTTAAAACATTCCTGTTTTCACCAGTATTAAATACAAACACATATTTTGACCATATGAATGATATATGGACTGGATTCTTTGCTGTTCTGAATTTCTTAGTTTGCTAAAGAGGAGACTGTTGTGACCCTCATCTCAGTTTGTGAGCAGGGGCACAAATGATGTGCTTCCCTTGTAAGAGAGTGGAAACATGCAGAACAGTGGCATCACCATTGTCTCAGAGACACAATTAAAATAAGGGACACAAGTGCACGGCTTTATCTGTCTCAATGCTGTCTGTATGAAGAGATTCAAGTTGGGGTTGTTGGCCTATGTTGCAGTGTCTACAGGTGAGCTGGTTCTTCTCAGCTTTCTACAGTTTCATTGGAAAAAATAGGCATTTCTAGAGCACAATTATTAAGATTTATTTTAGACAATATGACCTGAATCACTCCAAAAATGTTTATATCTGTTGAGGGGAGCCAGGAACATTTCTTCAGACATACATGTCTGCATAATAGATATGTAAAGTCAATGAAATGAATCCTATGTCTCATTCCCATTTAGGGAATAATAGAGGCACCTACATTAAAAACTCTTGACTTGTTACTGAAGTTGTTTAACTAGATATTTATACTACACAGTAGAGAAGTTTTAGTTTCAAATCTCCTAACAAGACATTGCTAAAGTGAGTTTGCTTTTTGAAAAGTTAATATTTAATAAAACCATGACTCTGATCATAATGTGCCTGTAGAACAGTTTGGACTCAAAATAAGTTCCTAATGTTTTAAACAGAGGATATAGGCTTCATAAGCATTCTTAAATTAAATGAATTGAGAGTGCAGAAAAATATGTAGACAGACCAAAAGCAAAGAAGAAATCCCTTCTAAGTGTCCTTTTTCATGTTTCTATTGAGGTAACAAGTGTTTTCAACTATAGAATTGCTAAGGATGTGACTCGGTTAAGAAGCTTACTTGATAATTATTATTAAAAGTTTTAAATTTACATCTTTGTTCTGTGGAGGCACACAACATTCTTTCAGTATTTCATAGATAAATTTAGAAGAATGAACCTAATTAGAAACTCATGTTTAGTTTGGCCATCCTTATCTCCAGCTCCATCTTTTTCTAGCAATCTAGCAGAATTACTAGCTTCAATTGTCAAAATTCACTTGCCACACATAAAATCTATTTTATATGTTACCTCTTCACTTTTGTGCAAATCAAAGCATGTGGGTGGACATAAGCTCAAAAAGGGCTGAGTAACTGTGTGACCTGAGCCATGCCATGGCACATGGGATGGTATGTTTATCAAATCTGATAGTGACACTTGGGTGCTACTGCAACTTGGAGCTTGGCTTATGCCTAAATATGTTGTGTGTGAATAGTTGCTCATTAAGTTCTCCTGTAAAAATTAATTTGCAATAATAATGAAAGAAGCAAACAGTCATTTTCTTTGCAGAGTACCTGCATTCCTTAATAAATTAATCTCTAAAATGTTGTGCTAAGCAAGTTCTATCATGTGCCAATTTTTTTGTTCTTCTTATAATGAATAATCACAAGGATACAGTGTATTGACAAATATTACCATTAGAGAATAAGAGACAGAAGAGAAGTTGTTCTTATCTCAGAGAAAAGGAAATGTATTTTGGAAATGAAGTAGCTAAGATACAATAAATTAGGTTTAACCCTCACTTGTAGCTATACAGGGATGTTTGTCCTTCCCTAATATTAGTCTGTGAGTCATTGTATCCTTTCTCTAGTAATATGGTTAAATTCCAGGGTTATCTTATTTTTTGTTCCTCTTCAACATAGACATGAAGATTTCATTGAATGTTTTTTTTTTCCAAGGTGAACAAAACATTGTTTTCTTTCTGTGATCTGGAAAAGAAAAGCACTCCTGGCCCTTAAAAATATGTATTTTCTCCTGCTGGATTCACAAAAGAAGCCTAATGAAATCTATGTGATCTAGAAGAGTTGTTTTGCAGCAAAGCTGTTTAAAATACAATCTGAGTTAATAATAACAACATTTTTTTAGATGGACAGGAGTGCATGTGAATAGAAAGAACTATTCAACAGAGGAAGATTACTTCAATTTACACATTGGTCATTAGTGGAGATAACACATGTGTAGCTGTCCAGGCCTAATGTCTTTTAGTGTACGTCTCCATCCTGGCATGAATAAAACCACACCATATTTTGCTACTCGCTGTTCATTCTGCTGAGAGGGGTCAGGGGAATTTCTGGCTGAATTGCATAAACAAATAAAACTTGATAGTATTAATTCCAATTTACAGTGGGAGTGGTAGTCTGTTTGCTTACTAAATTTCAGGATAAGTTTTCCATGGACATTTCATTTGGTGAAAGTAAATTTCATATCTGCTTACAGGAGGGATATTGTTACCCTGTGTACTAAATGTGCTTGCAGACATTCACTTACAAATTGCACATATCTGGTGTTTTGGTGAAGTTAACAAAACTCTGCTAATGCTATGTACAAATAATAAATAACTTTTCTGAGGTATCTGGTTGTTTCCCAGATATGAGTTAAAGAAAGTCTAACACTTTCCTTCAATTACTTTTGAGTTTGTAATTAAATCCATATGAGACGAACTGATTGGTGGATTGGGGTGAATAAAATGCTAATAAAAACAACTCTAATTTCCTGGTCATTCACTGTTTTCTTTCCCTTGTGCACCAGTGGCTATTCCAGAGGTTACTGCCAGATCTGCAGCCATGTCCCCTAGGGCTTTGGTCTTGACACATCTTTAAAAATAAACAGGACAGAGGATATGGACAAGCAAATCAGTTACACAGAACCAAATAAAGTTTCAGAAGCACCACCACCATCCCATGGATCTTCTTGCATCTCAGAACCTTGCTTTTACCATGTACCAGGGAATAAGGAAACGGCGAGGTAGAGCTTAATTCCCACTCTCACTTATTTTGGGATCTTTCTGACTAAATCCTAAGCTTGGTTAAAATGCAAATTCTGCTGTATACTACCTTAAAGTTACCTTAAACATTCCCATCACCTTAATGAAGTTGAAATCAAGCCTGTAGATTGGCATCTCAAAGGAAAATGTGGGCACTACAATAAAATTATGCGGGTGAATCAGTAGGTGTCAGACTGCTGAGTCCATAATGAATAATTATCTCAGCATAATTATTATATGTGCTGTTTTTCAGACAGATGTAAAACTGAGATCCTTTTGTGTCTTGGTAATTAAAAACACATCTCTTATGCGACTGCGCCTTACAGAAAGAGTAAAAATTCTCTTTTGGAGAATATGGTCTGCTAATAGTATCCAAGGCTGCATAAAGAAGTATCATATTGATCATAAGAATTGGTTGCCCTATATAATTTTCTCTTCCAGAATATCTGATACTAATTTTTGCATTTTCATTGCAGTTTATACATGTATTTTGTAGAAGAAGCTCATATTGTACTCATGAAGCTTGTGTTGTACTTTCTTTGATACATTTTTTTAGTTGTATGAAAACCCTGTATGAACAGGGTTTTGATGCTCCTCCTGGATCAGATTTGATATAATTTTGTGTTCAAAAATCAAAAGCAACTTGATTCATTCATGGGATAAAAATACAAAGACACAACTTCAGTTTCAGGAAATCCTTGAATTACAAACTGGTAAAAACTGGGAGAATATTCTTAAGATATATTCCTGAATGATCCCTCTGTTCTTAAACTCTTCCCTCAATATCTGCTGTTGACCAATCAGAACAATACCTGGGGCTATACATTTTATTTTGTTCAGAATGACCATGCTTAGTTTTCTATGTAATATACTGTAACTGCTGAAAAGAAATATTCTACCATTGGGACTTCTCACCAAGGCAAGGAAGCAAACCTTCTTTTAAAAAAAATATTGAAAATTTAAATAGATATTTTTCTCCTAAAGAGTTACATAAGAAACATTTTTCTATAGAAATATTCCTCATCTATTTTATTACCAAAATGGGCATCTCTTATCAAGATGTTTTGCACTTTCTGTAAGTTATGGCAGTTTTTTGGACATCATTCCTTGGTCTGCCCTTGGGACTATTATGGGAAATTGGATGCAGGATAATAGTTTCTCATGTTCTATCCAACCTTTTCAGCATATTCTCTTTTGCATTTGCTAGGTGCCAATGCAATTATTTTGAGTGGAAGAGTCACGAGAAAACAAATCAGATGAAGCATAGCTAAAACCATTTTCATGCATCTATCCCAGAGATAACACTTAAAGGATACTTTTGTGAAGAACAGTAAGTCTGTCTAAATAAAACTGGGTAAGTGACCTGCTGGTTGGAGTCAGATGAAAAAATTTTCATAGTGTACACTGACAAACTGGGATTTTTCTAAAATTTTCCTGTCATTATTTAGTGACTGTAGCTGGTATAAGGGCTGCTTTTGGCTTTATCTTTGACTGCTCATAGACTATTCCTGTGCTGCCTATCAAAGTATGACTTTGAATTGAATATATTTTTTATTTCTGGCAAAATTGGAGGAAAAAGGGATAGAAGACATAAAACATCCAACTCCAAAGTCAGGCACAAAAACTGAGAATGTGGAGATGAAATTTACCTGCCATTTTTCTATCTTTGTAACTGGGATGTGAAAGAAAAGGAGAGTGTCCATGATTGTTATCTGGAGAAAGAAAAGCCTCATGCTTTAGTGATGCAAACGTCAGAATCTCATGTAAGTCTATGGCAACATGCTGCATTTGCTTGGTGACAACACATGATGAGGTGACTATAAACAAAACAACAGTTATTTATGCTGGCTGAAGTTTGATGATAAATGAGGAATGAAATTTTGAGCTTATCAAGAAATCAGCAGGATAGCTGTGTCTTTGGTTAGGTTATGATTAAGAAGGAAACCTGGTGCACTGGAACTAATATTTCAGACTGTGTGGAAAATTACAGAGTATATATACCCAGGTCTTGAACCTGCTACTATGTTTCAAGGAGTGAATAATGAAATTGGAAATTTATTACATATAACATAAACTTTAGTATATTTCCATATGTCTCCTGGGCTGTGTGTGGAAGAGCGGGCATCAGCTCTGGCAGTTAGTCAGTTGTGGTCTGCAGTGTGGTCAGTTGTGGTCTGAACCCCAGGGGCTCAGGTGTACCCTGTGCTGATCAAACTGCGAGACCTGGACTTATTAAGGCATTATCAGGCATTATCAAAATAAAGAGATATGTTATGTGCTTGGAGAGGTACAGAATAGGCGGTTCTCAAGCAGGAGGCTGAGGTGTGTTTTTCTCCTGTGTTTGCCAAGCGCATTTACACACGAAGTTCTTGGCCACCACTTGTGCGGTCTTCCTTTGGAAGCATTTTCCATCTGTCATGCTCACATGCAAAAAAACCCCCTCTGATTCCGTCCCCACCCTTGAAATGGAACCTCTCTTTGTCTCTTACAGCTTTCGACAAGACTTTTATTAAAGAGACAGAGAGGAGAGGAAAAATGCATACAAGGTGCTTTCTAGCATTTCATATCAAGAGCTGCAGCCAACAGGATCACAAATGCCTGTGATGGCAAAGAGAAAGGGATTCAGTTTCACCTTTACTCCTCTTTTCATCCACTAGAAATCCTCCCTTTATCTGCAGCACTCTAAGCTCCATCAGCTGCTTCATCCAGCCTACTAAGAATTAAGAGTCTCTTTATCTGTGGCAGTCAAATAAAGTGCAGCTAGAAACACTGCCTTCTCCCATACTTAGATCTGCATGTGAAATACCAGCCACCCTCTTCACAAAAGTAGCAAAAAATAGTTTTAAATATTATTTCTAACAATATTCCCTCTTATACTTCACTCACATCAACAGTAAAATGGCTAAAAAAAAGAAAAAAATCACTGGAAAAATATATGGGAGGATTGGCACCCTAAGACTGATCAGTGATGATGCAGGGGAAATACACAGCTCTCGTACATCTCCTTTCTTCAAAATTTTAATTATTTTGCAAATAAACCAGTCTCTTGTATAATGATTGTGACTTTCAAAGGACAATCTTTGTGACAGCACTTCATAATTTGTATAAGACATATACTGAATAGACATTAGGGTAACTAGATAATTTCAACAAATTTTGTCTTTCTTTAATAGAATTTCCTTGATTTAAATTTCTGCTTCACATACCATCTGAAAGGAAGCTGTATATTCAGAAAAATAGAGTGGTAAGGCCTGCTTAAAAGACTGGCTGCTGTGCCTATCACTGACAGTGAATATCTGAAATTTCTGTCGTAATTTAGCTATATTTTGATAATAGGGACTTTTAAAATTATTTTTAAGTATATTGGAAATATATCTAGCTCTTGCTTTTCAGAAGGATTTTTTGGCTTTCCCTGTCTAATTTCCCCTCTTAATTCTACACAAGCCATTTCTCTCAAGGCACTGAACAGGTTAGAACATTTTCCATGCACACATATTGGACTGCTGCATATTAACTGGGCTTCTTCGACTCTCCTGCCTGACACCATAGAGTGTGTCAGGCTGGGCCAACAAGGCTTTGCTTTGTTTCATTATAATGGAAAGCACAATCAGCTGGTGCACTGAAAAAAAATTATCAGGGATAAAGAAAACAAGTTATTCAGGGGAAATGATCCATAACTGTTTGTTATTGAAGTCTTTAAGAATTACTTGTATAAGAAGAAAGGAATTGCATCATAAATTTAACTCCTTGGTTCGTTCTCAGAACAAGTGAATCAGGGCAAAACTATCCTGGGAGCCAAAACACACAAATGCTGAACATGCTCTTCAGCGGGCCTCTTAAATGTGTTTTACTGAATTTAATGCTATCACCAATTCATTCCATATTGGAAGAAAAAGAAAGTGTCAACCACATGAAAGTATCCTTCCTTTGGAGAAGACAGAAGACAGAACATGAATTGGAAAAATTCCTTTGAGACCTCTCCCTTCACCAGTCAAAAAAAAAAAGAATATAAATCTAATTATACTGTTAACTAAAACCACACAGGCACAAAATAGTACTCCTAGCTTACCAGGCCTGTTGCAGAGATCATCATATTCTTTTCCACAAGTCCTTTCAATATTTTTCAATAGTTGCTGTACACTGTTATCCAGCATCCGTGTTTCACTTTTTGGCTGAGGAATTCATGTTTTGCACAGCCAAGAGAGGAAAGGGTAGCACAAAATGGCAAAAAGGCAAGATAAGTCTTGCAGTACCCTTTGATCTCTGTGGTCTACTGCCTGCCAGCTGTGATTCCAAGCAGAGTGCAGATGCACACACATGGATAAACACTGCCAGTCTCCCTCTTCTTCCCTGCAGTTGACTTTGCCTTGCCACCTGTCCTCATACCACAGGAAGATATTCCTTATTCCTAGGCATGCAGGAAGGAAGCTGCTGTCAGGATATGGGGGCAGAGGGGTTCTGTCATGTGATACTCTAACTTCCCCGCAATGACTGTCTCACTGTGTCCCCCTCAGCTCGGGGGAGATTGTTGGTCACAGCCTAATATGGGCAATTGCACAGGATATGTCACACTGTGTGTGTCTGATGGACAAATTGCCATGGTAATTGGCTATCTGCATATTTATATTGCTGAGCAATCAAGACTTTGAACTTGTAGGATGAGACAAACTTATATGTATTTGCACCGGCAACTAAAGCTGTAAAAGGTTGGTGCCATGTTCTGTGTGACAGATTAGTTTATTATGGTCATAGGACTGAGGTTATGCCATGTTTATATTCTAATATCCTGCTTTTAATGGTTAATAACATTCAGAAACTTTTCTCTGGTCCAGATGTGGTGTCTGTCCAAATATAATTTTATTTGAAAGGTTTGAAAAAGAATGGTTCATGGTTTTTTGCTTTGTTTGTTTGTTGTTGTTGTTATTTTTTCCCTGATAAAAATTTATTCAGTTCTGTGCTTTGGTCAGGGATTGCTGAAAAAAGGATTTTAGTCAGACTAAATCCACCTGCTTTCTGTTGGGGTGGGCTCAGAGAGAGGCATCAGAAAGTCTTCTGTTAAAAACACATCCAACCTATATACATCAGGGCTTCATTTGTGTACAGTAACTGAATGTAGGAAAAAAAATGTCTCTACCAGAGAAAGCAAAAGAAGTGATGCAAGTATGAGAAAAAAAACAAGGAACGTGGGTGAAGAAGGAAAATGTGTTGTGCTGTATCTGGGAATTCCGAGAAAGATAGGGAGAGAGGACAAAAGGGTGAATTATTCATATCTCTGATCAAAAAGGCATTACTATGTTTTAGCTGCTTCCTATTTTTATGGCCATTTTTTGGCAGCAACTTTCCCTTCTGGGAAGATCCTTGGTATAATTTCTTATTTTGTTCATTTGAAGGTTTTCTGTCAGCTTATGGTGAATCTTTCTTGCACTCCTTGACAGAGTTCTTTGCAGTGTATCTCCAAGGGCCACAGGGGTGTCATGTAGTCATGTATTTTCTTTAGGTTGCCAGCATCACCCAAATGGACTCAGGGACCAGGGCTTTTGTTTAACTGCTGTCTCTTTTGTTCAGTGCTACTTGGAATGTAAACACAAATTTTTGTTTTCTCTCTCTCTTTTTTCTTTTTCTTTTTTTAAATCTGGAAAGGAAGCATCCATGATGCTTCATAATCTTCAGCAAGTACAGACAAGGCTCAGACATTTCAGTACTTTTCTTGTGAGTACTCTGTGTGTGACATTTCCTGTTGTTGTCCTTGTTCTTAACAAAATGTTGCACACTGTTTCACAATGTGAATGATTTAACTCCTGCTCTACCCAGGGCATTGCTTCTGGCGCTGACTCAAGCTTACTTATGGTTTTAGTGGCTCAGAGCAAACCATTTCTGAACATTTTCTCACCTGTATGCATGGTTTTTTCACTGTGTATGAGTATCATGTCATTGCTGAAACTACACAAATTTTTTATAAAATATATTTTTATTCCCTATCATCAACTTGATGTGACCACACAAACCATGTACATTTTGTGTTTGCTTATCTGACTAATCTCAACACCACTACCAATTCACTCTAGGCCAAAGGTTATACAAACCCTACAGCTGACCTTTGCAGCCTCATATTTGGAATCAAGACCATGAGAATGTCTTTGCTTGAGCTTCTAACCACCATCAGCAGATAACTTCTCCAGTTCCCTAGCAACTTAGCCATGCGTTGTAATTGATTTGGAGCCTATGAAGAAGAGACATTGTTGTGAAATGTGATATTACAGACTGCATACTTTTCTAATTTTTAAGTCCTATATTACATTATTGTCTTTGATGAAGGGAGTAGAAAGTTCTTGCTGACTTAGAAAGTTATTCCCAAATTCTTAAAGAGTTATTTGATTTTTTTTTTTGTTAGCCAGTACTACACAGTCTGATAATGTGAAATCTCTTGAAATCACTTTATTTTTTTCCTGAAAAGACATTTGGTGATCAAACAGTGGAAACTGGGACCTATGGATACTCCAAATATTTGCAAACGTGCACATATGAAGAAAGAAACAATACCACCTAATAGTCTTTTTAGATGGCTCTTTATCAGTGTATTTCCATAATACCATCTCTGGTGCATAGTTATAGAACTGGACATATGGCTTTCTGTGAACAGGAACTTCCCCTTTTGAAATCTTCGGGTGAAAGATGAAGCAAGAAGTAGGTGTAGTGATCCTGACTAGGAGACCATTACACACTGAGGAGTGAGTGATCCTTGAAACAGTTACCCTAAGCAGGCACAGACCTGTGCGATGCTACACGAAGATGTCTGTGTCATGCTGCATAACCCTTTGAGCTGCAGGGCAGTCACCAGCTCATTGCAACTGAGGAGCCTGCAGGCAACTTCCTCTCACCAGTGCTCGTGCCTCCTGCATGGCCTGCCTCTAACAGGTCCTGCTTCACCAACCTGACCTTCTTCTATGACAAGGTCACCTGCTTAGTGGATGAGGGGAAGGCTGCGGATGTTGTTTACCTAGACTTCAGTAAAGTCTTTGACACTGTCTTCCACACAATTCTCAAGCAGAAGCTAGCTGCTCATGGATAGGTGTGCTCTTCCCTGGGTGAAAAACTGACTGGATGGCTCAGAGAGAGGTGCTAAATGGAGTTAAGTACACTTGATGACCAGTCAGTAGTGGTGTTCCCCTCAGTATTGGGGCCAGTCCTGTACAGATCCTCTTTACTGAGGATCTGGATGAGGGAACTGAATGCACCCTCAGTCAGTTCACAGATGACACCAAGATGGGAAGGAGTATTGATCTGATAGAGAGTAGGAAAGCTCTGCAGAGGGGTCTGACCAAGCTGGATCAATGGAGTGAGCCAATTTTATGAGGTTCAAGGCCAAGTATTGAGTCTTGTACTTGGGTCACAACAACCCCATGTAGTGCTATGGGCTTGGGGAAAAGTGGCTGGAAAGTCACCTGGAGGAAAAGGACTCAGGGGTACAGGTTGACAGCCGGTGGAACATGAGACACCAGTGTGCCCAGGTGGCCAAGAAGGCCAATGGCATCCTGGCCTGTGTCAAGAATAGTGTGGTCAGAAGGACTAGTGAAGGATTGGCCCCCTGTACTCAGCACTGATGGGGTCCCACATTGAGTATTGTGTTCAGATTGGGCCCCTCACTACAAAGAAAGACATTGAGGGGCTGGAGCGTGTCCAGAGAAGGGCAATGGTGCTGGTGAAGGTTCTGGAGTAGAAGTAATATGAGGAGCGGTTGAGGGAGCTGGGGTTGTTTAGCCTGGAGAAGAAGAGGCTCAGGGAAAACCTTATCGTTCTCTACAACTACTAAAAGCAGGTTTAGCCAGGTAGGGGCTGGTCTCTTCTCCCAGGTAACAAGGGTGAGGGGAAATGGCCTCAAGTTTTGCCAGGGGAGGTTTAGATTGGATAGTACAGAAAGTTTCTTTACCAAAAGGGTTGTCAAGCACTGAAACAGGCTGTCCAAGGAAGTGGTTGAGTCACCATCCCTAGAGGCATTTGAAAGACATGTAGATGTGGCACTTAGGGTTTTGGTTTAGTGATGAACTTGGCAGTGCTTGATTAGTATTTAGACTCAATGGTCTTGGAGGTATTTTCCAACCTAAATGATTCTATGATTGTCTATGCTTCTATGCTTCTATGGTTCTCTCCTTAGAGTGTTAGCTCTAATAAGTAGCATTTTTAGTAATACCTTCCAGAGTCTGAGTGCTTTTAGTACTGGGATCATTACAGGCCAATACATCCTGTTGCAAAACATGAGTACAAAGCAGAATTGCTGTGAATGGTTAATATTTTCTATATATAGAGCTCTCTATATATGCATCAAGATGACTTTTGATAAGACTGTTTATTGATAGGCCCAAAATACGTGTAAGACCCTGCTGTGCTATATCTAGAAACAACAAATCTGGGAGAGTTGACTGCCTTAGGAAAACAGGGATAAATTGATAAGTAGTTTAACATATGAGATTCAAAACCCATGAAAGTCAGACTAGATCAGACTGTTTTTTATGTATGTTTAAAAGGGAAAGTAGAAATTTGGTGTTCCTTCAAAAATATCAGCTATTACTGTACAGTATATGTGACATGCAACACACCAAGAAAGCATTATTAAAGAAGTGGCTGACAGCTTCATGCTACTAGAACACAGTTCATGATCAAACATGAGGAAATGGTCCTTACAAACATCAGTCCATTCCCAGTGGCAGGGAAATGAGAATTTTTAGATGTGATGGAGACCCATTCTCAATATCTGATGACACTGAGTTCTAGAGAATCACAATGCAGTTCACTTCAGGACCTGGAAAAGAAATTAATTTATAGCAAACAACAGCACTGCAGGTCAAACAATGCAAAATATTAGTTGTCACTCAATAATCTCCAATCACCATAAATCACATGGGAAATCTAACTTGCACTGAACTTGAGGTCTGTGCATATTGGGTCTCTGGAGCGACTCATGGGATGAAGATCTGCTTGCAGTACTATGAAACAACAAAGATCTTTAGTAAACATCAAAGCTTTTGAAAATGGTAAATTTGGATGAAACCAAGTATGTGATAAAAGAACTAGAGATCTGGCTACAGAGCTTATTGCCTGCATTTACCTGCTATAAACAAATGTAAGTACACAACGGTGCCCTGCTTTGCTCATTAGCTTGGAGCTGCACCTGTGGAACACAAAAATGGGCATGCTTAGCATGAAAAAAAAGTGAAAATTAACTGTGGTGTGTGGCTTGTCACAGCACTAGGAACAAATACCAATATCAGTTATGAGAGTAGCTGTGCTGACAAAGATATGACTCATACAGTTCATTGCAGCTCAGGAATGACTAGCAGTGATCTGACTAACAATTTGTCACGGGAGAGGATCAGAATTGTTTGCCAATGAGCTTATGGGCAGCAGTAGTGAAGCATCTTTGTTGTTATACCTCCCTGTGTTTCAAGACAGCTTTTCAGTTCAGTGTGGCTGCAGGTGTGAAGTATGGAATAACAATTTTACTTGTTTTACCTCTCCAGAAAAAAGAATGTGACTAAGGAGAATGCAACTCCATGAGGAAAAATGTCTCTGCCTCTCAGTTCACTGGGAATGACTTGAAAAGGCTGCTCTCAGAAACACCAACAGATTCGATGGTGCTGACAGCGTGTGACAACTTCTCCAAGTTGAGATACGGCAGCCACACAAGCATAAAAGCCCCTGACAGTTAGAGATACATTACATAGTCCTTGTTGGCCTTCAGCCATGCTTTCTTTTTTTTTCACTGGGTTATTTTAAGACTACAGGAACCTATGTTTCCCTCTAATCAGATCTCTGTAGCTAGGTACTCTTGAAGTCCCAGGACTTCAGAAGATAGAAGAGCAAAGGAAACACAGTCAGGGAGCCTCTGACAGACAGACAATGTATTGATGCTGAGAAGACAATAAAGATGTGAACATCCAGGACATAGAACAGATGAGACTAAGCAACCAGAGAAAAGCAGGGAGAAAAAATTCCTAGAATACTCCTTTTACTGTTCTTTTATGTATTTGACATAGTTGTTATGAATCCAAAAGATCGGGTTCAGAAAAACAGAGCCTGCTCTTTGCAGCACATTGGAAACTAGCATGCAGATTATTTAGCAGTGAGAAAAGTCAGTAAAAAGGAAACTCAGTGTTTGGAAGGACATGAAAAGATCTAGAAATGTTCCAGTAAGTTCTACATGCCCTAGTAAGTTTTGTTGCATTGGCTGTAATGGATCAATTTGCAGCAAAGAAAGAATTTTTGATTTGCTTACTGAGCCTCAACTCATTGCAGTCTGTATCTGCCCAGTGGATAGGTGTGACTGTAAACAAGAGACCTGTGACTACTGTTGATACAGATGTGCATTTGAACAATGATTTTGAGGCTGAAGTTAAGACATGAGCATGCACACTACTTAGGAACAACACATAAACACACGAATATGTGGATTCCTAAGCATTCAAGGAATGACAAAGGCTTATTAAATGATAAAGGCTTATTAAAGCTGTCTGGATTGGAAGAAGTTGTAATGTTAAATGCAGGCAGCACATATGAGTGGTAATAGTTTAAAGTTTTGTGTGGTTTTCTGTTGACTTACTGTCATTTGAGTTTAACCCTGCCTGAATGTGCCGGTGTTGGTACTTGTATTGTCACTTTAAATCAAATTCTTCCAGTTTATGAATATTAAAACATCCCTACAGGATGTAAGGATGTATTGTGGCTGTCCTCCACAATATAATGCCATACTTCACACAGGTACAAGACTGGATCTGGTTGTACTGTATGTATGTATGTGGATATGTATTTCTTTGCTTAAACTTTGATGACTGCTTGATGCTTTTTTTGGAAAATAGAATAAATGGTGCAGTGTGTTCAAATGTTGTTTCCTAGTTTTTACATGAGAATTAGAACTCCCGTCAGCATGTTTGATATTAAGATAGACTTTACAAACAAGATCTCCACTGATTCAGATTAAATAGTGATGAATGGTGTGTCCTGCATCTCATTGAGATCTGTGCAGAAATATGAAGGGAATGACATTAAGAAATGGTGGCAGAACTGCAGCCATGCACTTTTGAATATTTCCTCAATTAATTGTGATTTTTAAAAAATCTATTGCTGAGTTTCTCAGAGTGGAATTATCCCCCAAGACATCCCAGCAGAATCATCTCTCAATGTGAAGTTTAAACTCACAAAGTACACAGTTTTTCCTGTCTCCTAACATTGTTTCTGCCCATTTTCTTTTCTTGTAACAAGGATATTGTTGCTTTTTATTCTTTCTGTTGAGACTTTCAATGATATACAAAAGCAATTCCTGGTAATCAGCAGGGTGCAGCAGCTGGCTACAGCAGAGGCTTAAAAGTGGGCAAAAAAAATCAAAGCCCATTTTTGTAAAAGTGACACTACCTATCAGGGCAAACACAAAGTCTGGGGAATCAGCAACGTTCATGGAATTATGGCACCTTGTGCACAGAAACACGGAGGAAGACAAACCTTTTTTTGATGGCACCAGAGCCAGCAGCAGCTTGTAAGTCTGTGGAATAAGCTCTGGAGATGGATGCCAGCAACAACTAATTGCCTTCTGGAAATAAAAAGGGGCAGCAAAAGAGGCATAGGATCTTAGAAAACCACTAGAAGTCCTAAAAATTATTGGATTCTGTTTGAGAATCTGGCTAGGCTATTTCCTCAAATTATTTCTTCTGCTATCACTTTGAGAAACGCAAAGAGAATGAGTCAATCCTCTAACATCTTACATGCATCTTAGTCATCGTCAATCACAAAAAAGTTACAGTATGGTTCTCGTGTTGAATTGAAACAGTTCTGAGAGAATGGGCATACTGGATGCAATGCTGAGTCACTCTCAGCTGCTCACCGTTATTAAGTATTCAGCATTGCTAAATTGATACAATTAATTTTCCTGAAGTCCCATAAAAGTCTCTTTATCCTCCTGATAGTATTATTTCTTTTCTTTTTTTTTATTATGGTAGTCAGTTTGCTACTAAAATAGTATTTCTTTTCATTTTTACTATGGTAGTCAGTTTGCTGCTAAAACAAAGACAAGTCAGCTTTTGCTCTTGCTTTTATATTTGAATCTCACAGGGCAATTTTTTTCCTCTCATTTTTGTTCACTTATTTGTGAATCACTACATCTTTTAGAATCTGAATCTCTAGAACATCATGCTCTTAGGTATAAAGTGAAAGGAAAAAACTCTTAGCCATATCCTGAATAGACACAGGAAAAGAATCACTAGAGAGGCTGACCTACATACCAGACAATGTTCCTTAAACAAAACAGTTTGAATATTTTCTATGAATTATTGAGGCAGATATTACCACGGAAGATAGGACATACATATATAGTCCAGAATGCTTTCCGTTTAACATTTTATTCTTCAGTTCACTTGACCAACATGAAGTGCTTAAAGGCGATTACATACTCCTCTAATTTGCACACAACTCCTTTTATTTTTCTTTTTTTAATGCCTGTTTCATATGATTTTTGGGCATGGGTGATTTAAAGATATAAAAGAACAGTTTGGAAAAAGCCATATCTGAAAATAGCTCTTAACCCAACCCCCTGGAGAAAAGCATGGTCATGGTGGGTGTTCTTCTCTCCAGTCAGAGAAAATGGATGAGGCATGTCCCTTGATCCTGGAGTTCAAGATACCATGATTCTGCCTGGTAAAAGAAGACAGCAGAAAGGTTTCAGAAAGTAGTACTGGTGATGGCTTTTTGGGTTTGCCTTAGCAGCTGTCCAGTCTGATGTAGTAGGAGAAACTGATTTCATGGGAGGCAGATCCCAAAAAGTGGCTGGCCTTATTTGCTAAATCAGCAGACAATGCACTCCATATGTGACTAACACAGTTCAGGGATCCCAGATGTTAAAAGTCCACTGGAGGAGATTTCCTGAGGGTGCAGGTATTATGTTTTGCACTCCATGAACAAACTTTCCAGATCTCTTTCCTGTAAAGTAGAGTGCTGTATTTCAAGCTGAAGGAAAAAACTCCCCTTCTTCTCCCTCTGAAAAACAATTCCTGTTAAACCACGAAAAACTATTCTTAAGTCCTTACCAGGGTAGAAAATTTGCACTCTCTCCTAGTGCATTTCATGTGAATGAAAGTAGATTCCTGTGCTTTGGGAGCTGCTAATGGCAAAAAGAGACTTTCCAGATTTTAAGCGCCCTAAAAGAGAATAGCAGTAAACTTTCCAAAAGAGAAAGGAACATTACTTCTGCCACTGTAGAATTGTCTCTTCTCCAGAAATGTCACTTTCCTTTCCTCTCTCAGCTCATTCACTTTCCTCAGTGTGCTTCCTTGACCTCGACTTCTGTGGCTTGAACCCTGCAAATTTCAAAGTCTAGGCTAAAATAAAGATTGGAGCTGTTACACCATGACTGATGATGAGATAGAAACTGCATTTTTCTTATGGATGATGCAGAATTTGTTTTTAAGAGTTGTCATCTGTGTAGAAACTTGACTCAATGCAGGCAATGAGCACCAGTGATTCCAAGAAAAGGGGTAATGTGTGTTGCAAATGGGATCCTAGATAGGATCGTGCTTTTCTTCTATATAGATGGCACAGTCTGTTCAGATCAACAAAGAGGCAAATGGCATGACAACACCAATCTTTTTGACTAGAGCTTCTCCCTGACATATTTTGTGTCTATTGCTGTGCCAAGAACCTATTTTCAAACAGAGCTTAAATATTGTCACAACCCTTGTTTGTGTGGGACTTTCCCCATGTCAGATCATAGATTGCAGAGCCCTTGGTATCTTCTCTTATTTCACTGTGAAAGATAAACAGGAGTAGATGCTAATATAAGTAATCTGAATTGAAAAGAGGCCCACACTCATCACTTTCCCTAGTGTAAGTAGACAGTTTTTACTGTGTTCTCCTATTTATTTTATTAGAAACAATACCAAAATGTGACTAGTTTAGGAAGTGTTTTATAACAAGCTTTGGACAGCAGAAGCATTTAAATATTTTAATGAGTGTATTGCCTTGAGCATATAAAATTAACTGAATTGCACTTACTTAGGTCATCAGAACTTTCTAATCTTTTTATACATTAGAGATAGATTTGCAAGTCAGTAAATATGAGTCTGTAGTTCTTTTAGGAAAACTGTTAAGGTCTAGAAACTTTTATACATATCTATGCTGTGCAAAACTTGTTCTCTTGATTTTCTTGTTCTCAACTGTCTGATTTTTCCACTAAGGAAGGCTGTTGCTTTTGTAGAAGATTACAATGGATTTGGGATATGGGCACACACTCAGCAGTTATCAAAGGGAGAATGTCAGTATCTGTTTGTGACCTGTTTTATTTAGACAGGAGAGATTTTTACAACTGAAATCTTCTTACAGTACTATGCTTTATCTATATGAGGTAGTAGATGTCCTCATAAAAATTATATAAGACCCCAACAAACACCACCCCATTGTGATTCCAAGTTTCATGTGAGTTGGATTCTCAGTTGATGTAAATGTGCACACCCTCATTTATGACAAAAGGCTGTTAATATGCGTCAAGGTTTTAAAAATTAATTAAAATAATTGAAGTCCAAACTTCTACTTTCCAGAGCCTCATTTTTTTATATTAAATAACAATTAGAAGTTCAACTATGCCAGTGTTTCAACTATCCCTGTTTCTTTGCTGGAAGTTTTGCATACATGAGGTATTAATGTGAGTAATTAGAGACACCCTGAACAAAACTCAATAAATTTTCCTCCTTTTGGTAAGTCTGCTTTGGGGAATGACACTGTTAGTGCTGTCAAAACTTCACATTAGGAAGAGGGAAGAAAAAATCAATTTCTACAACAAATTGATGGACGCTGAAGGGCTTTGCTCCATATCTGTGCTGACACCTTGAGGGTAACCAAAGCCATGTGCTCTATATTTGAAAACCTAGAAAACTAACTCATATTCATGTTCTATTTATTTATGAAATGAAACTAAATCATCATCAGAAATAGGAAAAGCTAGATGGAAGTTCAAATTGCCTTCTGTGCCCAGGTACTGATTTTTAACCATATCAAAGGCAGGCTTGGAAAGCCAATTGTGTTCTTCTAAAAACAGGCAATGGAGGGAGAAAGGCTACTGATTACATTCCTCATCTGATGCAGAAAGTCTGGGTTCAGGATTTTACTCTGCTCTGACCGCAAAACCTCCAGTGATCCTAGAATGATTTTTTTTTTCTTGAGAATTAAAAGAGGTATCCAAATAATTTGCTTCTACAAATGTAAATGTCTTCTCTTGATCTTGCCTGTTCTAACATAAATTCACCATAAAACTGTATTCCGACATACACTTTAGAAACTTTTTTAATGTAAGCACCGTAGATAAGCAAAACGAAATTACTTTGTGAATCAAGTCTTTCTAGCACCTAGACAAGAACATGGGGTCCTATAAGTTTTTATCATTTTGCAAAGTCTGTGTGAAGGACGGGCAGAATTGCAGGCTTTCTGCTTAATGTGGATAGGAATTGTTCTCCAGTTATTACCTCAAAAGACGCAGAGGAGAATGGAGAGCAGCAAGATGAGGCCTTGGCACCAGTCTTTCTTGGCTGCTTACAGGAAGGGAAACATGCCACAAAACGCTATATGGGACTTGTGCTTCTCCTCTCCTAGTTGGAAATTGTAGGATTCTCCTGTGTTGGTAACGGGCTTGTTTACTGTATCGAAGGTCCACGCCTATGAGATACAGTTTAGTCCTCTAGTTGCCTTTGAAAAGGAGTCTCATAATTAATATCTAAATAGAATGGGCTTTTTTCCTCATGTATATTAATTGCATTTACATACAATACATATTGTGTATACATACCAATATGTATTTATACCTCTGTGGGTTGGAACTGCAAAAGATTGTGATT